GTGTGTTTATTGGATTATGAGCAAGAAATCACTATATCTGGCCAAATTCAACCAGATGCATGCCTTGTTCTTAAGAAAATCATGTTTTAGAATTAAGGTTTCCACTAGGATTTCCTTCTGGTACCAAGACTCTGTCAGTTGGAGGGGTGGGATAAAAGCAGAAGATAACTGGTGGTTAGTGTATTTATATTTATTCATCATGTATATGCTAAATCTGCTGCGACTTTAGAATTTGGAATCTCGGTGGTAATGCACCTGTAGTTCAGTTGGCTATTGTAATTCATATAAAAAACAGCTGCTCCAACTTCAAGGTCAAAAAACCAAGCACGAAAGGAAGAAAGAGAAAAAAAGGAAAGTTACCATTTTTGCGAATCTGGAGTCCAAACTGGCACATTCAGTGTTTTATCAGGAGTTCTCAACAAAGGAATTTTGCTTGAGCATGTGAAGGAAAGAAGCAAGCACCCAGGAGAAAAATAGAGGCTTTTGCAGTTGGTGCCAAGAACCACAAAAACATTGATATTCCTCTGAAAGTAATGAGCATTTGTGAACCTGAGACATGGAGGTTTTCTAAGACAGGCTTAGAATGATGATAGTGACATTTTTATGAGTTGATTCATACTCAGTCAAAGGAAACATCATCATAATGAACATGCTAGATACCAAGGGCCAACTGTAGTGTCTCATGCAGAATTGCTTCTAGCTAGGCCAGCCAACTAATGGAGATAGTTATCGAAGAGTGAGGTCAAACTCAAGAGAATAAATGCATGCACGTATATTACTTGCTGAAAGAAACCATGTTAGAGATAAGGGTAAGAAGGTAGAAGGATCACTTAGTTACAGTACTGACTCATTGTCTAATCAAATCATTCATTTTAGGATTTTAGAGCTTTCAAGGTATGCAGGCTTTGAAGGTCAAGAGATCACAGTTTAACACCTGACTCTGCCATATAAAATCTGTTTGATTCTTGACTCTGGCCAAAGCAATCTCTCTGGCACTATGTTTCCTCAACTAGGTCATGCAAATAATATGAAGAATACATTCTTTTCCTTTGGGTATTCAGTGAGTTAATGATAAAGTTTCTAGCATACAAGTATGTTTGAAATGTTTTTTTTAAGAAAAATTAGAAGCATTGTTTTGATTCTCTGTCAGCTTTCAGATTAAATGAAAGCCTCAAAAACATGACTATTAGCTGCTTTAAGGATGATGCTAGAGTTTTGTTGTTGTTCTTCTTCCTCCAATGTTTTAGTGAATTCTAGACAAGATGCATACAAGTGAAGAACAAAGTATCTTAGAGTAGCAGTTGAAAAACCAAATACCTACAAGGGCCAGAAAGGCAATATGAATGAATGAAGTGGTTCTGGTGGAGAAAGTGGCCAAGTGGGGATTGGATTCCCCATCTTAAAATAACTGACTCTACCTTAAAAGAGCTGCAGCTGAACTTTGCTATGCAGGAAAGCAGGTTTGTGGTTAACAGATTTGATTATTTCGAAGATTTATTAGAATTTTAAAATATTTCTCATTTAAAATAAAATTGGTAACTAATTAAAATAAATACTGGGAGGCCGAAGATATGTTGGGAAGGGATGTGTGTATATGAGTGCAGGTGTATGTGTTTGTAATCACAGGGATAGAGTACTGTGAGCTGTAGAATTCATGGGGAAGATAACATACCACATAAATGCAAAGTGCATGAAGAGATCCAAGTCTGGTCAAGACAGACTAGAAGGGACTGGGGAGCCACTAGTAGTTCAGAAGTCCTGGTGCACTGAAGTCAGAGAAGGGAATGTGGGAGGAGGAAGCTGAAGAGGTAAGTGGTGGCCAGATCTTTCATACTGTATCATCTGTGCGATGGAATTTGAACTTGATCGTGAGGAAAATCAGTAGTCTCTGAAGAGCATTAAATAGGAATGGAAGAATCAAATTTTCAAATTTGGTTGATCTTTCTGATTGCAAAGTGGGTAAATGGATGAGAAAAGTCAGGACTGAGTGTAGACAGATCAATTAGAAGGTTGTTGATGGGAATCAAGTTGAGGTGAGGAAGATTGTACTAGGACCATGGATCTAGGTGTATAAAGAAACAGATGACACTGTATGTTAACTACACTGGAAAAAAAAGGAAGAGGAAGAGGAAGGAGAAGAAGAAGAAGAAGCAGATGGAATTGGAGATATCTGGAAGAGCAAATCCAAAGGCGCTTTTTTGGGGAGAAAGTACTGTTGAGCAAGAAGGGGGAAGGAAGACTGTGGCTGCATCTCTGTAGAGTATTCAAGGTTCATAGAAGATTCACACCTGCAACAAAACTCTACAGAAAGCAGGTAACATCAGGAAATGGAAAGCACCAACAACCTGACTGGGTGTGAGTGTGTAGGAGGGGAACATCTCTCTGGAAATATTCTATTCTTAGTCTACCTATTACTTCTCCATAAAGAAAAAAAGGAGCGTGACCTCTAGATTTTATCCTTTCTAAAGAATGTAAAGCAGTCAAGTGAAAACTGAAATTTAGTTCATTGTGCAATTTAGTTCATAGTTCTTTGTGTCACGTGTTTTGTCAGCATCTCAGAGTGAAGTGATCCTCTTGTTTTGGATCATTCTCTCCATACTCTGTATGTCTCAAAACTCAAGAGTGCATTTCTGCCAGAGAAACCACCCCAGCCACTTTTGTCTCCATTTATAAACTTGTTGACTAAGTCACACATGAGAAAATGTGCAATAGATCTTGCATTCTTAACCTCTGCTAGAAGAAAAATGCCACTAACAAGATATATGAAGAGTTATTCAAATCTAACGCAGGCAGTGACTGCAAAATAAGGCGGGGGGGGGAACAAGACAAAATATTTGATTACATAAATCCTCCCTTCTTTATTCTGCACAATCTCTGGGAAAGAAATAATGAGCCTTCCTTTATGATCTGCTTGTATTTATAATTGATTTATCTTGTGGTTAAAAGGAGATTTACTCACTAAAATTGAGACAGACAGGAGAATGCAATTTGGGTTTGACCTCCTGGCCTTTTTGAATATCACTTATCAGACCTGAAAATACAGTAGAGTTTCAGCATTATTTCAGATTAAAAGATGTTTTGGAGCGTTATGTCTGTCTGTGGATGCAGCCAGTGACTGCCATCCCCATATTTATGCGTCTGTAGACCTTGTGTGATTCAGGGAAGTCACAATACTCCCTCAACCCCACTCTATACTCCCATCAAACCCATTTCCATTATTTCCTTGTCCACGCTGCCAGGCTGACTGATGCCAGGAATGTTTAGGTTACCTAACTCATTTCTTTAACTTACTGCTTTGTTTCTTGTCTAACGTCTATACTCCTGGTCTGAGATGACACATTTGGAATTCTCATCTGTATCCACCTTGGTGGGAATATATTTTTATCTGGTCATTGCTAGACCAAGATTTAATAGTGCTGTAGGGCTAGAAATGAATGAGGTTCAGAAACGAGAGTTGATAGATACAGAAAATAAGTGACAAGTCTGTCCTGCCCCTGTTGTTCTTGTCTCTATTAGTATACTTTGTAGATCTTGAGCACCTGAGGGTGCCCTCCATTTATTCCTGTGTGTGGACTTGAGCCCGCACTGTTGAATCTGGGCTAGAGTTTGTGTCTTTAAAGGTGGGCTGGACTCGTGTCTTCTCTGGGATCTTCCATAATTCCGAGCACCAAACAAATACCTGCTGATGGGATTTAGCTTAATTTCTTGGCTTTTGTCTCTCAGTGCACATTTTTCTGTTATCAGAGGTTTAGGCTAGTGGAGTCCTGGATTTCCGATGGTAACAAAATCCTCTGTCACTTTGAATCTACACCATTCTTGAATAATTTGTAACAAGCATTATGAATCTCTCTGAAAACTTCAGGATGTCCCTGCAGCAGAAAGTTGGGTTAGAATCCTGTTCTTTAATCCAAAAGGACAAATTTGCCTTCCAAATAATAATTTGGAAATAAGTGCTAAGATCTCTCTCTCTCTCTCTCTATATATATATATTTAATGTATATATATAAACAACCTACTTGTCTGAGTTATTTTAAGGGCTCAGGAGAGGGCATAGCAAAGAATAATGATTGAGTATATACTGTATTCCATGATCTTCACTAAGCTTTACTGTAAACACACTAAACAAAATTATTCTTAATTTACAGATCAAGTAGCAAAGGCTGAGGTGATTAGTGGTCAACATGGCTAATCAGCTAGTGACATGGAGTATGACTCCATGTCTGTCTGTCCTAAAGCCTGCCCACCTTCCAGTGCTTGCGTTGCACTGCATGAGCAATGCAAACTTGTTGCAGTTTTCTAAATTGGTGTGCCTAACAGCTTGCTTCCAATACCATCAGAAGGGACAATCCTGCTTGAGTATTCTACTTCAGACAAAAGTCTGCTATAGACTATGTCATGACACATTTTATTTCATTTGCAAGAAACATGGCAATCTGTAGTTTCTGTCTTAAACATTGTTAACTATAGGATTCCATGTGAAATATAATCTTTTCTTTCTCCTTTCCTCCCTTCCTTCCTTCCTTCCTTCCATCCTCCCTTCCTTCCTCCTCAAAGATTTATTTATTTATTTGAAAGAGAGAGCAGAGGGAGGGGCAGAGGAAGAGAATTCTCAAGCCGACTCCCTGCTGAGCATGGAGCCAGACATGGGGCTCAATCCCAGGGCGCTGAGATCATGACCTGAGCGGAAACCAAGAGTCGGACACTCAACCAACTGAGACACCTAGACACCCCATTGTTTTTTCTTGTTTTTGTTTTATTTTGTTTTTTTTTGTTTGTTGTTGTTGTTTGGAGTTAGGGGTGAGGAGGTTCCTTGCCTGGAAAGACATGCATTTTGCACATGCTGTTTGAATTCCTAATTCTCACTGAAACTGTAATGGAAAAGCTCAACACAGCATGACAACAGAATAGTGCTTAACAGTTACCAGTGTCAATATTAAACCTAAAAGAATTGAACTGTATGATATGTTACTTTTTTTTTCTTTTTCTTTTTCACTGCGTAGGGGGAACATCATCAAGACAGAAAGGCTTTCTAGGATGCATACGCTCCTTACACTTGAATGGGCAGAAATTGGACCTGGAAGAGAGGGCAAAGGTCACATCTGGAGTCCGGCCTGGATGCCCAGGTCATTGCAGCACTTACGGTAGCATCTGCCACAATGGGGGCAAGTGTGTGGAGAAGTACAGTGGGTACTTCTGTGATTGCACCAATTCACCATATGAAGGACCCTTTTGCAAAAAAGGTACAGTAGACGCCTCTGTTTTACCCCCACGCTGTATTGCAGTACCTATAAGCCATGATCAAGTCATGCCCTTAGACATTCCTTAAGTGATCTCTTACCTTCTTCAATTTTGCTCTGTGTAAAGACTCTGTGTAGCCCCTCAACATAATTGCATATAGCCATTTTCACTGTGTGTGGACACTGGCAGTGCAACTGAACAGGGTGGTTAGTAACAGTGCAACACACTCTCCTTGGCTGGGGCCAGCTGAACCCTGAGAGAGATGGACTTTCATCTCTGTTGTATCAGCCCGATCTCGAGGGACGCACTAATCTTTCCAGTCCCAATTCCTTAGCCCATGCATGTAATGGCAACATTATAGATTCTACCCCTGGAAGAGTCTTAGGGATGCTTGAGTCATTTTAAAGTATTTTTACAACAGGGAATTTATAGGTAAGTCAGGAGAAACAATACCATGCATCTAGTAAAATCTCCCTATTATGCAGGTGATGTGAGTGGAGTCTGAAGCTTTAAAAGCCCTGCCTGGAGATTCATATTTGGTTGATCAAGGGGCTGGGAATGGAACACAGGGATCAAAATCCCTGTCCCAGGGTCTTTCTCTATCCTCTCCTGTCTTATGAATTCATTGCATTGATAAAACTAACCATGATGGATGTATACCTTGAACAAGGAGTGATAGTCATGGTGTAAATTCTCTAGAAAAATTCAAGATAACTCTACAAACTATAAAATTGCATTATTCAATATAAACACTTAGTATTTTTTCAAATACAAGGGCAAAAGATTAGGTCTCCTATCTATCTTTGCAGGATTTTAAAGTTTATTTTATTGATTGGGAAAAAATGTTTGTTGAGCAAATAATGTAAATAATATTTCAAGAGCAGCATTTAAACTATTAAAATAAAATGTTTTAATTATTTTGAAATACCATTTACGTTTAAACAATGATGGCAGTTATACATAATTCTTGTCAATTCATTAAAACGCATTTCCCAAACACCTCTACCAAACAATGCTTTATTTAGTCCAATTTACTGTTGGAACTTAAAAACAGTAGACAAAAGGAGAACACCCAGTGTTCTCATTGAAGGACTCTGTAATTTGAGCTCTTCATAATTTACACTGGCCTTCTCCACAGTTAGATTGAATTACTTGCTTATTATTGTTGAGAATCATTATACTCCTTGGGAGAAAATGAATGGTACAAATTTTAGGGCCAACAGTGTGTTGGGCCCTGCATGGAGTTTGACATAAAGTGGCCCCATCCCAGTAGGTGTTGACCATAGGCTAAGACAAGCCAAATGCCACTGGATTTTCACATTGGGGCAGGTATCTGAATAACTGCCCCTAAAAAAATTAAATGCCACCCTTAGTCTGGGCCCACACGGCCAGAAGAAGCAAATACAAAATCAACACCATCAGGCCTTCTCACAAAGGTAAACTAGCATTGTTCTATAGGATCTATACCCAAGCCCTGTGTTTGGAAAAAAAAAGAAGAAGAACAGTGTGATTCTACATTTCTCCAGGGACATTGCTCAAACATCTCATAGATCATATTGTTCTAAATTTAGCTTAATTTTTAATTGGCTTTTGTGTTTTTTTTTTTCTGAAACAACTCTGATTAATTATCTTCTGTCCATATCATCATATCTTTTGGCAGCATAGGTTGAAATAGCCTCTGTGCTCTCTCCCCACTTTTTACTTCAATCTATAAGCAAAATAGACAAATATGTGCTTAGCCTTTTCAGCTTGCTTCATATTTCACAGTTCCAAACTTTCTCCTCTTTCTCATAAATCTAAGGAAATGATTCCCTTTATACGCAGTAGCTGCAAAGTATGTAGGATGAAACTTTTAACCAAGTGTTCTAGCCATGCCAGTTGCCTGGGGAAACTGGAATGGAAATGAGAGCCACTAGCTAGGAGATGATCCTAAACAAGGGTGCTTTCGACTGGGGTAGCCTTCCATGTTAACTTCCCAGGGCATATGTGTTTTAGGGGGTGTAATACTAGAAATATATGGGGTAGAATTACCAATGCCTGGGCCAGAACTATGATCCATTGACCTACTCTCTGTTTCTGATTATAGTACAGAGTAATAATAATTATGCAATGAAATAGTAATTATTGACCACAACATACATTTCTCATGGCCAACCTAGTGGGGAAGATATTAACATATCGAGAACATTGAAGTTCACAGAGGTTGAATGACTTGTTAATAAATGTCAGGGCTGGAGACCCACCCAGCATCTTTTTGGTTTCTTTTTTCTCTTTAACATCCTAATTTCATTCAGTATAGGAATGTGGTAATAGGATTCAAACACGTTTGTTTGTTTGTTTGTTTGTTTTTAATGTTTTGCGTGTGTCTCTTTTTCTTCCCTAAAATCCACTCTTTTAAATTGTATAATGCCATGATTTTTAGTAATTCACAAAAGTTGTGCAACCATCACTATTATCTAATTTCAGAATATTTTCATCACCCTAAAAAGGAATCTTACACATATTAGTAGCTACCCCTCCTTCACCTCTCCCTTCTGTGCCTGGAAAAAACTGATTTACTTTCTGTCACTATGGATTTACCTATTCTGGATATTTCATATAAATGGAATCATACACTATGTGGCCTTTTAATGTCTAGTTTCTTTCACTTAGCATAATGTTTCAAAGGTTCATCCATGTTGTAGCACTTAACATTTCAGTATTTTGTTCCTTTTTTTATTTCCAAAGAGTATCTTATTCCATTTTGTGGATGCAGCACATTTTGTTTATGTATTCATCAGTTGATGGACATTGGGATGTTTCCATTTCTTTGGCTATCATAACTAATGCTGCTATTGACATTCAGGTACATATTGTGTGGATTTAACTTTTTCTGTTCTCCTGGGTATATACCTAGAAATGGGATTATTTGGGTCATATGGTAACTATATGTTTAACTTTTTGAGGATTCTGGCAAACTGTTTTCAAAGTGGCTGCTCCATTTTACATTCTTACCAGCAAAGTGTAAGGATTCCAATTTCTCCACATCCTCACCAACACTTGTTATTATCCATCCTTTTGATAAACGACATCTTATTGTGACTGTGTGAAATAGTATCTCATTGTGGTTTTGACTTGCATTTCACTAATGACTAATAACATTGGACATTTTTTCATGTTCTTATTGACTGTATACCTTCTTAGGCGAAATGTTTAAAGTTTTTGCCCATTTTTTGATTGGGTTATTTTTTCTTTTCATTGTATAGTTGTCGGAAATCTTTGCATATTTTGAATTCAATTCTCACATTAGATATATGCTTTGCAAGTATTTTCTCCCCTTTTCATTTTCTTGATAGTATCTTGTGAAGCACAAAAGTTTTAATTCTTATAACATCTGGTTCTTATTGTTTTCTTTTTGTTGCTTGTGCTTTTGGTATTATGTCTAACAAATCTGCCTCACTGAAGGTCACAAAGACTTATGTCCATGGTTTCTTCTAAGAGCTTTATAGTTTTGCTTTTACATTTAGTCTTTGATCCAGTTTGAGTTCATTTTGTAGATGGTGTGACATAGGGGTTCAGCATATTTAAGTATGCCTTACCAGTTGCCAAAAACCTGTTGAAAAGTTCTTTGATATTTACCTTCCTGCCAATGTGTATCACTTATTTTTTTAACTTTTCTTTACAAAAAGACCCAATTCTTGGTGATAGTAGGGAGAAGAGTTTCAGAACCCTCATGCACCCATTATCTAGCTTCAACAATGATCAACTTATGACCATTTTGATTTCATCTATATACTCACATCTTCTCCTCCTTTATTATTTTGAAGCAAACTTCAAATATCACATCATTTCATCTATAAATATTACAATATGTATTGCTAAGAGATAAGAGCTTATTAAAAACACAGATCCACAAGACCATCATCATCAGAAAAATGAGTAATGTCTAATATTATGAAATATCCACTCAGCATTCAAATTGCCAATTGTTTCATTTATTTTTAGTTTGATGTTCTGCTAAATTAATTACACCTTGGCTGATTTCTAGGTAATCACTAGCCTACTCATTACCTTCACTTATTCTAATTCTAAATTCTATCACTATTATTTAGACCAGCTATTGTCCATTGAGTTCCTACTAGGTGTTGTGCTTCTACATAATGTCTTCCAGTCCTTCTACCTACTGCAAGATTGAATCCATCCCTACTTGTACATGAGCTGAGGTTGAGTGGGATCCTGTGAGAGTGTTAGAGAAGGGGCAGAGCCAAGTGTCAGTTCCCATCTGTCAGACTCCACAGCTGGCTCAGAGACACACTCTCTTCAGTGCCACATTATTTCCTAGCTGTTTCTTTTAGTTCATTCCACACTTTATTCCTGGTCAGTGTGGAGTTCCTCTTTAAGGTCTGGTCAAACTATTGTAGCCACAGAGACCTCCAGCTCTAGGAATCATTGTTTCTGTTGCACACATCACACTCCACACTACCTTCCATTGTGTTTTGTTTTGTTTTGTTTGATAAGTGTCCTTTCTTTTCAGAACATAATCAGCATAATTCTTTCCACCAAGTAGGTGCTCAATAGATAATGCTAATATTTCTTCTGTGGCTTTGGAGTAGCATGATGGTCATAGATGATCCCATCCAAATTAAGATTTTTCTTCTAATGGGCCCAGTGGTTTTGTGTATTCAGACAAATCACTCAGAGAGCTTAAATATGTTCAGGGAGCTCAAACTCTTTGATTATAAAATATAAGAAACTTAGAGAATAATAGAATCCAGGTGTTTTGCTGAAGGAAGCTTTATGTTAAAATTGACAGTATCGAAATATTAAACATTAAAATACTTAAACATTAAGAATAATTAGAACTGGGGCTAAGGGAGAAAGGAAGAAAGAAATTTGGTAGGATATTTCTAGTTTAAAAGTGCTTTGCATTTTAATTTCCTGTCCTAAGTATTAAGAAAAAAATGTGATATATATGCCCATATCTAATATGCTATTCATAACAGAATGCTCTGAACTACAGTTAATTTGAACACACTCACAACATCAAATAAAAGCCATTATTCTGTTAACTAGGAGATAGTAGCTCAAAATGCAGGCCAAATGTCCCTAAGGAAATTCACTCAAGGAAAGTGCTTGAATCAAGCTGATGATTAACCAGAATCCTCACTGTCACAAGTCTCTGCCGCATATCTTTGTAATCAGGAATACTAATGTAACCCGAATAATAAATGCAGAACACATTCTCTGAACCTTTAGTCAAAATGAACTGGTATTCCCAATCTGCTAAGCAATATGCATAAATATGCAACTTTAATTTTTTGGCACTCTTACAGGCTGTTACAGAATTTTCACAAAGGTAGAACAAATTTGCAATAGATTTAGGAAGGGAAAGCCAGGTTTGATTATGTTCTGGGTGCCACCAACTCAACCAGGGGATTTCATGGGGAATTAGGAAAATTCTACATCATTCCAGAAAAAGAAAAATCAATCATGCCAATATGGGTTCATGATTATTGTGCTATCTTTATAGTAGGGGGTTGCTGTCAGATCCAAGCTATGTTGTACTATGAAGGAAACTTTCCTCCATGCCCTGATACTATATTACTGTATAGAGATAAGATTGAAGGAGAACTTAGAGCAGCCTGGATTGAAAGAAAAGAATATCTCAGCATTTGGATGGATATTCAGTCAACAAACAGATACAGTCTGTGAAGGAAACTGTGACGGGTTCAGATTAAGGTCTCTTCTAATCTGAAGAGCCTACAAGATCCAACTATAGTGTCTATCTCTTATAAGTGTTCTACACACAATATCTCACTTAGCCACCCAGAAATACTGTGGAGGTGTTATGTTTCCCATTTACCAGATGACAAAACAGTCTCCACAGGGGTTCACTAACTTACCTGGGACCACACAGCTAGTATGGTATTGAATGAGGCTTCAGATCCAGAACAGAAGCCAAATCCTGTGCTCATTCCACCAAACTAAAAGGATAACAATTGGAGTGAGCACATGATACAGGGAAGGTGAGTGATTTGTACATTCCTGCTAATTGAATGTCATTGGTTTGTAGATGCTGCCTTTTTCCATGGTGGTGGCAGAACTCCATCCAATGTGTCATGCTATAGGAATTGTATCCCATAGGAAGGCCTATTTGTTCAACTCTTTGCTGTCTTTGGAATTGAATACCAATTCCTAGGCACCCAAAAGAAAATGGAGTCTGGAGGTTAGATACCTATGCCTTTTCTACTAGTTCCATAGCTTCTCTCTTTTGTTTCCACAGATCCTAATATTTTACCCAACACCATGAGAATTACCACTGCTTCTCCCAGTGTCCGATTCTCAGTAACTTAGGACCCACTCATAATCCTCCTAACACACCAGAAAAACACAAGCTGGAACTGCTAGAATCTCAGTTTTGAAACTAAGAAGTTCCCAATAAAATTTATCTCTACTATGCTGGAGGCAGGGGCAGTTTATCTTTGCTTCTTGAGAAATCAGCCTGGCACATGGTAGTTATACGGCAAATGTATGTTAAACTGAACAAAACTTCAGGATGCAAATCTCAGCTGTCTTTTTTTAGCTATGCAACCTTGTTCAAAGTGCTTAACCCCTGCAAGCCTCATATTTCTTATTTGTAAATAAGAGTAACGACTTCTGCCACTTCAAACTTATTGTGGGAAACATATTATATAATTCAGGCAAAGACCCTCATGCTGTGCTTGATGCATAGCAAACAATAAACAGTTATTGCTGTCCTGAATAATCAACTAAATGTTGCAATGTGTGCATTCCCCTTTTCTATTTTTCAGAGGTTTCTGCTGTTTTTGAGGCTGGCACTTCAGTTACTTATATGTTTCAAGAACCCTACCCAGTGACCAAAAATATAAGCCTCTCATCCTCAGCGATTTACGCAGATGCAGCTCCATCCAAGGAAAATATTGCATTTAGCTTTGTGACAGCCCAGGCGCCCAGCCTCTTGCTCTACATCAATTCTTCTTCTCAGGATTACCTGGCTGTCCTGCTCTGCAAAAATGGTGAGTACTGACAGCATGAAGTCTGATGGAGTGTCACAGTGGGCTAGAGGGATAATGCGTGCCCTCCAGAACACTGCATAATTTCAACCTAAATTTGGTCCCACCTCGGCAGCTTAATCCTGGACCTCCAGCCAAAGCCCTGATTTTACTTTAGCTTTATGACTTGCAATTGGTATTCAGGGCCAGAGTCAATTCATTGCTGAAGTCTTAAATGCATTGCCTTTAATTTGCCTCAACTGTGTAGCAGTAATTCTTTATTATTTATTCTGTGCTGGAATCCATTAAGTGTAAAAGAGACGATCATAAGCATATCTGAATTTCAGAAGGACACTCACCACATATATCGTGTCATCTTTGCTGCAGTCTCCTTTACTGAGGACTGTTAAAACAAGTAGCAAAAATGTAGGCTGTATTAATAAGAGTTAATTGCCTAGGTCTTGGAGAGAAGTGGCGTATGTGAGTCATACCCCTGTGCAATATGGGGCATGGTGCTGAGAATCAGACTTTGAAGAGAATGTGCACAAAATGGAATATGCGAAGGTTAAAGGGGTATAGGAACTGGGTCCACTTCATGCAAGGGCTGTTGAAGGACACCAGTTCTGACAGCTGTTAGGAGAAATCAGGTTTTCTTCCCTCACTGTGTAATTCCGCCTCACAATGAGGAGGACTGTTGGTCAAGGGCACTGTGAGATCAAAATCTTAAGGAATGGAACAACTATTAGAACAGACAAAGAGGGCAAAGATGTGGACATCCCTATAGTCAGGTCTCAAAGAACAGGTTCCCTTGATCAAGAGTGTGTTCCTCTTCTTGTAATTTGCCCTGGTACAATGAGAGGAGTCTGGGCTTTAGAACCATCCCCCAGGATGGACTGTGTTGGGGCAGAGAAGAAAGGAGGCTTGGAATATACAGCATACACTCTGCCCTCTCTAGACCTTAGGGCAGAGACTCCACAGAAACTCCAGGTATTTCTCTTGCTCCACTATTTTTTGGGGGGTGGGGGTAGGGGATGGGTGTTATTCTTCTTTGCTTCATCTTGCCCTCTGACTATGACACTGAAAATAAAGAATGTTGTGTGGGCCTAACGCAAGGATCAAACCTGGTGGGCATGTGAGTTGAATCAGGCCTGAAGTACATTAATAATAAGTGTCCCACAGACAATAACAGGACTCATTCATTCTAAGAGCAAATGCAAGGGAAGGAAAAAAGAGAGAGGGTTCCTGGGGTAGTGACTAACCTCTCCAAGACTATCTGACCTTGAGCCTACAAAGAGAAAGGAACCACTATGGGTTATTAGACTTCTTATTTATCAGCAGACCTTTGTATGATTAGAACCATTATATTAACTTGTCATATCTTAAACTTTGCCCCCGTAATGTCTCTGTGAGGTGGATAAGTCCGGCTGAGGACACTGAAGCATAGATTAACTGATTAACATAGGTCAGCCAGATAATTCATGACACGGTTGGGACCAAAGCCAGATCTGATAATCAGCTTCACCATCTTTCCTCTGAGCTAGACCATTCTGCTATGATGTGGCTGGACTATAGTAAGATAGTTACAGAGCCCTGAGATGCAAGATTTTCCCCAAAGCATCTTTTAGGTGTGATTCAATGGCACATTTTTACCAGCCAGGCTGTATCTATGGATACAGACAATGGCATAACAGGAATAACTATACTCGATTTCATATACATACTACTCCATATACTCTCTCTCTCTCTACACACACACACACACACACACACATTCTGGGCACTATTCTAATTAATGTGCACAGCCCTTAATTCTCACAACAATCCTATGTGGTTGGTGGTATCAATCTCATAGCTCCAGAAACTAAGGCATACAGACACTAAATAACTTGCTTAAAATCTCACAAGCAAGTAAGTAAAAGAGTTAGAATTCAATCCTCCCTCCCTGACTCTGGTAGCATATTTTGTGTTCTTAACCATAGCTCTAAATGAAGAGCGTTATTTATTTTTTGAAACACAGGGTGTTTTAAATAACTTGAATTTATTTAATTGTGAAGGCATTCTTGAATTCTTCCTGATCTCCTATTTTCTTATACTCTAAAGCCTCACTTCCCTGAAAGTTCTACTTGACACCATAGTCATTTGCATTTTTTAAGCCCTGGCTAAGTGCAGGAAGCAAGGAGATACTTGTGTTTTGTTTGTTTGCTTGTTTGTTTTAAGCTTAGGTCTCAGGGCCAGTATGAAAAATCAGCCTTCACATCTCAGTCTATAACTCACAGGAGATGGGTGTCCAGGCAGTGTCTAGTCATGTAATGCCCCCTTCCTCACTCTGCCTCAGAGAACCACCTCCCCCATTGCTCTAAGGAACTCTTGTCACACTGGACGGTGGTAGATGCCTTTCTGACTTAGGATCTTGGGCATTTCCTGTCATCTTATCCTACAGAGATGCAGTGGAGATACACACTCATTCATTCATTCTTTCAATGACTCCCACCTGCACAGTATCAGGAACTATGGAGAGCAAAAAAAATAAACAGGATGCTGTGCTGTCTAAACATGATAAGGAAAAAGAGAGACTAAAAAATGGCCTTACAGGGGCACCTGGGTGGCTCAGTCGTTAAGCTTCTGCCTTTGGGCTCAGGTCATGGTCCCAGGGTCCTGGGATCGGGCCCCGCATCGGGCTCCCTGCTCAGAGGGAGACCTGCTTCTCCCCCTCCCACTCCCACTGTTTGTGTTCCCTCTCTCGCTCTGTGTCTCTCTCTGTCAAATAAATAAATAAAATCTTAAAAAAAAAAAACCTGCCTTACAGTTTTTGATGGACAATCTAGATACATGAGGGAATCAGGTTGTACAGATTTCTCAAGCAATCTTAGCAGAAGTTAGATTTTGTCTAACTTTGAGGATGAATCTCCTAGGAATTCAGGGGTTATAACAATAGGGCAAATGCTTTGAGCAAGAGTGCATTCCTTGTCATCGGAGGCCTTCAAACAGTTATTAAATGACAATTTGTTGGAAAAAGTATAATAAGAATACTGGCAGTGGATAAGGGAGAAAAATAACCTCTGAGTTTCTTTCCAAGTCTGAGATTTTGTGATTCTCTATTCTTGTGTAGTCTTACATTTTTATTTCTTTCTGCTAGGAATGCATTTGTAGCCTTTGAAATGCTTCTTCAAGGATTTAAGAATTGGTATTGGTACAGCTTGTTCCCAGTATGCTCATGGTATTAAGCCACTGACCTAATTGCCAGTGAATAATATGGGGACCTTGCTTCATGAGGCATAATATTTTTAATAAGACTTTGATAGACTTCAGGGAGAAATATTCCTCTGAAAATACTAATGGAAGTTAAAAATACCAACAGCTTAGAAAAAAAAAAAAGTAGCAAACATGGTAAAGGGTTAACTAGGGAAAGTCTTTCTCTGGAAGGATTTTCTAAGATTGATTCACACCTCTCTGAGATGAAGTTAAAAGTTTTCTGTTAGTACAGATTTCTTAACCTTTCTTTGATATAAGACACCTCTGGGAATCTGGTGGAAATTATGATGAGAAGATCACTCTTAAAAGGAGTCCTTTTTGTTCTCCCCAGGAGGAAGAAAATGCCCATGGCCATATCATACAAAATGGCTCCAATTTCAGCACTGTGGGTTAAGAAGCCAAGGGGTGGAGACAAGTGGATGAACTGCATAAATACTGAACAAAATCCTTGGCTTGCAAATCTATTTAATATGGGTGTACAGGTCAGAGGAGAGAAGAGCAGTGGGACTCAAAGTCATTCTTCCAAGTCTCTCCCTGGCAGGGGTTCGGTTTGGCATGCTTGGAATTCCTCTTTGCCCTTTACCATTTTTCTTGAAATTTCTCCAACTAGAGACTTATTCAGGTTAAGTCGTTGCTGTCTTTTCAAATGAAAACAGGTCTTTTTTCCTAAAGGAAGAAAAGGGTTTCCATTTCTGGGATGGAAGATTAGAGAATGAAAAGGAGGCATTTGAGGTTAGAGAGACCTTAGGAGAGTGAAGGTGGTTGTGGTCCCATAGGCTGGAGCATTGGACAGCAGGCAACTTCTCAGAGATATGGCAATTGGAGGAGAAGGGGTATATGAAGGAGGAAAGTATCCAGAGAAGGCAATGAAAATATTCTAAAGGCAATGAGAGGATTCTTAAATTTCACATTTTATTGAGTGATGGCTCTGCCTTCTGCATGGTACTATGGAGTTCTTCAAACTTGTCATTTAACAAATATTTGCAGAGTATCTACCATGTGGCAGGCACTATTTCATGCATGGGAGAGACAGATTCAGAGAACATCCTGTTCTGCTTTTAAGGATCTAGTCTGGGCACAGAGACACAACAAAGAAGGACAACAATGTGCCAGAGACGTGGGATAGAGTCTGTTCCAGGTAGATTGAGGCAAAGAAGGAAAAGAGTAACTGATTCTTTCTAGGAGGGAGGGTCACAAAAGGCTTCCTGGAGATAGTAAAACTTGAGTTGGCCCATGAAAGATAAATCAGTGTTTTCCAGGCAGACATTAGATTTTTGTTTAATCAAATGAGAGGTTTCTTTGATTGTTCCTCATTTTCTCCACTTTATTTCCATTACATGTGAAATATACAAATTTTTCCAAATCAGTTCCCCTTTCTACTCTTTTATCATGTGTCCTTCTTGGCTCCTTGGTAGTAAAAACAAAACAAAAAAAAATCAAATTTAGAATATGTGCTAAATCGGGGCGCCTGGGTGGCTCAGATGGTTAAGTGTCTGCCTTTGGCTCAGGTCATGATCCCGGGGTCCTGGGATCGAGTCCCGCATCGGGCTCCCTGCTCCTTGGAAACCTGCTTCTCCCTCTGCCTCTCTCTCTCTCTCTCTGTCTCTCATGAATAAATAAATAAAATCTTTAAAAAAAAAAAAGAATATGTGCTAAATCTAAGGCCATCAATCTATGGTGAAATCATTTGGATACAAAATCCAAACAGGGCCCCTGGGTCACCTTCCTATGGTGGCTTTTCAGCTGCCCTCCAGCACTGAATGGTTTGTCTG